CCTTCTCACTTACAGTTTAATTAGAAAGCAGAATAGTTATCCAAATGCTCTGACAGAATCCAGTCAACTACGAACAAGTTCAGGGCTCACTTAAAGAAATGAGCAGGCCTTTCAATGAATTCTCTCCTATTTCCCTCATACTCTATCACAACCCAAACTTCCAGAACTTTACAAAATGAAGCCCACTCCCCCTCCTGTCGCCTACCCTTTTATAGTCAGACTACAATCCTTATCCCAAAAATAAATCAACCTGATGAGAGGCCAGAGAAAGCAAAGCTTAATAGTTTTAATACTTTCATTGTTTAGTTATGGAACATAAGTTGGACAGATTTATCATCAAGTTTTGACAAATTCCTCTACAAACAAATCCTAGGATATGCCCAAATTACTGTGGCCTCTTGACCCAACATGTTTTTATAATTACTTGGCACTCTAACTGTATGCTACCTAAATTAGGTAACAGTCACCCAGTTATTTTTAGGCCATAGCAACACACATACACACGTGTGCACACACACTCTGCTAACCTAGCTTGTTATATGTACTCCTCTGGAAAAGAAGCCAAAATTGCCTTTTACTGGCACCAGCATGTCTGTTCAACCAATAGTAATAATATTAAACTACATTTATTGAGCATTTAGCATGTATGAGGAACTGGTCTAGATACCTGGAATACACTAATTCATTTAAATCCTAAATTAACACTATAAGACAGCTAATGTTATGTCCTCTTTTTTGTAAATGAGGAAACTGAGAAAGTAAGGGGTTAAGGGGAACCGAGACTAGATCTCAGACAGACTGGACCCAAAGTACTGCCTGAATTTCTCCAGCATTTGCTACAAAGTTAATGTTCAGCATGCTTGGATATAAGCAGAAGCTCAGAATACAGCAGTAAGTTTATGCATATAGATAGGTCTTGATTTCACCTATCTTAAGTCCTCATAATGTCCCTGACAGATAAGAGAAAGACTTTTGTTCCCCCCACAAAAGAAAGCAGAAACAGAAAGCATTATTTTCACAGGGTCTCTCAATTTCTCAGTTTAACCATTCGCCTTGTCAGCAAACTCAGTATTGCCTGCCAGTGTTGCCTTCAAAATCCTTTCTGACTATGTAAAAATATGCAGTCTATGTTGCTCATTTCTCAGGAATTATGAGGGAAAGTTTTATACTATAAAAGTGAACTCCCTCTGTTATCAAATATTCTGTCTGAATGGGCCTCCTGAAGTGACTCTCTCCTTCCCCGGCTCCCCAGTAAATAAATACCTCTGGTAGAGAGGCAGGCCCGTCAAGAGACTGAAGCAGTCAGTCAGTCTTTGTTTTCGTGAGAGCTGATAACACAGAGCAAGCTCAGGCACGAGCCCTGACACAGCCACTGGGAACGGGCAGCTACAGACCCCTGAAGAGGCGCCTGGAGACCCCCCACTCACAGGGGGGATGCTTCTCCATAAACCTGAAAGCCAGTTAGTCATAGCTGACCTCTGAGTTTGAAAAACTCTCAAAAATGAGCATGTGACACTGAAGTATTTAGGAGTGAAATGCTGTCTATCCTATCCTACAAAATATTCCCAGCCTTCTTATTTTTAAAACATTGTTTTGAAACATGAAACATATCTAAGTACATCAAAATGTTGTTTATACTATGAAATATTTCAACACCTATGAAAAGGAGAAAGCACATAGGGAAAACGTTAATCATTGTTTAACCTGGGTGATAGGTACTTGTGTGTTCTTTATACTCTTTTCTACTTTTCTAGAAATTTGAAAAATCTTACAATAAAATTTTTAAAGGTATAGACTGTTTTTAAGGAGGAGGTAGCTATAGACTATCCCTTCCTACATAGGTAAATGACAACTTATTTCCCTGAACCCAAATTTGCTGAAAAGCAAGCCTTATAAACATAAGCAAAGATGCTAGCTCTCATTATGGAAAAACCAGAATTGCCTAGCCTTCTTATTCAGTTTGGCTAGAAATTATATTAAAAAATCCACTATGAGTAAAATGGATTGTAATTCTTTCAAAGACTTTGCAAATCCCTAAATATGTATTCATTTGGATCAAGTTGAGTAGAAGCACAGGTCTGGTACCATTTATTCTTTGGAAGATAAGAATAAGACATGGATTCAGACAGACACAGATCACAGGAGGGAGGGAACTGTAAATTAGAACAGTAACTCAATCCCAGGGGCTTCTGCGCCTCTGATCAGTTTCTTCCCGACCTGACACAGCATTACTAAAATGGTAACTGAGCAGTCGCTCTACTTGACAGGCAGCACCAAAAATGGAGAACATGGCATCGAAACAGGGGGACATGAAACTTGGACAGGGCGGGTGGCAACCAGTGTTTACAAACATAAACCAGAGAATCAGATGGGCCAGCCAAAAATTAGCCAAGACTGTACTGAAATCTCTGAAAATAAATTAATGAGGCCTCAGAAGTTTCTAATTTAGAACCCAACTACCCGCACCACCATACCTTCCCTGCGAAAATCACTTATTTCAAAATGGTACCACTACCACTCTTGCTAAAATAAAATCTTACATCACCAAGGAAGCAGATGACTGAAATAAACCTGGGCAGAGAAGCCAGACTAGAGTGGTCTGCTTGACCCACTCAAGAATCTGGAAGAAGGTGCGGCCCATGCCTTCTGAGAGATGCCCACCCCAATCTTCACTCCACTGGTGCTACGGCATTAACCTGTGGTTTACCCAGATGGATGGGAAACTGGGGACGTTCTAATATTGATCTCTTTCCCTTCTTTCCCATAGTGGCCCCAATTTTAGGCCATTCCCCCAAAATAAACCAAAACAATAATGATGATAATTAGAAATAAAGTAGATTACAGACCTTTTTTGCTCCTAACAACGTATTTTCAACCAAATGCCCAGATAGTTGAAGAAGAAACCCCAAAAGCTACAAACAATCCAACCTCTACCACCGACGCATCTTCCAGGTCGACCGCCGCTGAGTCTCACCAACCTGAAAATGACGAGCCCGCAGGGCGCCACCCAGGGTGCTCGGTGGTGAGGTCAGCAGCATGCCCAGCCCCGCCCCACGGACACACTCTTCCTCACTGGCGCTGAGCAACGAGCCCAGGCTGCCCTGACTAGCAGCTGCATCCACAGCAGAAGGGGAGAGGAACCCCACTTTCATCAGGAACACCCCGGAGATTCATTTCTGTGATCAACGATCTGCCCCCGCACACAACAATGCCTACTGCACAATAGGAGGTGGGATCTACAACTCCCTCTGCTCACCCTCATGTTCAAGTCCAGGGTCATCTTAATTTATATCATCTGATGCTTGTCCTCAGATTATACAGACACAAAAGGCCTGCTTTTTCGCACCAATGTCTACTCTACATAAGCGAAGCAATGACCATCTAGACCACCGGCTACCCAGTCTCTTTGCTCCCCAAGACAAACTATTCCAGATGGGGAATTTGTAGATTCTATTTTCTCATTTGAAAATGATGGGACAAGCCATGATCCTGTTGAGCAAACACTAGCTGGATAAACCTGTCCGGAATCACTCAAAGTCAACCAAACAAGAACAGAAAGCAATAAAACACAGAGCTACACAGAGGAAATATGCACATAACCCCAAGAAAACCCATCAACAACAGAAAATGCCTGGGTGCTGCTGAAACCCTCTGGATATGACCTCCACGACGCTCTCCTTCCTGGCAGAGCCTACCGACACACACTAAGGAAAGCTATGCCTAAGTGGTAATTGGGTCCAAGGAGTGGAAGCTCTGGGAGAGCAGTGGGGGATGGTAGGGGGCAGCAGGTCATTCATCTGAAGACGTACTTCCAAGAACACTACTTAATAAAAGGCAGGATGCATCACTGGGAAGACAAAGAGAATGGCAGAACTGCCTCACAAAGACAAAACCACTAATTTGCTCATCTCAATGACCTGCTGCAATTTAAGTATGCAAGGCTTTTAAGGGAACCCAGCAACACCTTTGGTCAATATACTTCCAAAGACTGGTTGGTGATGTGGCCCAGAAACTGTGTACTGTGACTTAAGACAGAAGAGAATAAAAAAGATGACTACCTCTCACTACCAGCACTCAGCAGAGGACACCAAAGAAAAGGAGTGGTGCTGGCGCCCTAAAGAATGGTATATGAGGACAAAGAGGTGCAAGTGGGATGGGTACAAGACGACGGCCCCCCTGCTAGGAGAGACAATGCTGTGGGGAAGGGGTTCAGATTACAGGGCACAATTAGGTCCTCCTGCCAGAGCGCAGCAGCACTGACCTCCTTGTTATTCTGCGTACAGTGCCACCAACCCACCAACCCACCTTGGGAGGAGCCATGGGGCCAACAGTTGCCTGGGGAGGCCAGAAAGAACAATGGGTTGGAGAATATTTCATAATAATGTCTCTGTCTCCTTGGAAATCTGGCAGAGGAAGGGACGTTTTTGGTGAGCATACACTTTCTGTGTGGCTTTATAATAATGATCTCTACCCTTCCTGAAGGTCACTTTATAAACCGTATGAAAACCAGGCTGGTCAGAGAGGTGAGAAAGAAGCTTTCCCATGAAAAGAACAGGTACTTTTAGGTTTATGTGTTGTTGAAGGTAGTTGCTGCCTCCTTCATTCCGTCAACACTGGTTAACTCTGAGAGACAGTAACTTTCCACCTAGTTATTGATGGGACTAGAGCTACCAACCAGACATGACTTGAGATACCATCTGGTGGCATAAAACCCCATTTAGAAAGATAAGAAAACAGTCTCAGGGAGGTGAAATGATGTGCACAATGCAAATCAGAAACTGAATCAAGACTAGAACCCAGATCTTCTGGCTTCCAGTTCAGTGTTTCCGGCTTTTTCTCACGATACCAGAATAATTAAGAGAGGGTATGGAGGGGAAGACAAGAAGAAGAAAGTCTGTTTGGGCACTCTGTAGCCTGGGTAAGAACACTGGCACCTCTAAGAGAAAACCCCAAGTGAACTGAACTCAGGACTGTGCTCAGGAAGGGGGGTGGGGGGTTACCTTTCAACACCAGAGGTTCTTTGCCTTCTCTCTTCAGGGACTCGAGGACTATGTGAAGTGGCTGGGAGGGCATCACTCGGCTCGGCTCATTGGTATTCTCATCATAAACTATAATTTCTTTGGAAAAGATCCTCTTGAAAGAGTCCTTGCCTTCCCTACAGGAAATCAAGTCTAAGACAGTGATCTTGCCCTGCTGCAGTCTCCTCCGGCTGATCTTGTCGGCACAGTTGATGTGGACAGCGCCCTGGATGTGGCTTTTGTTGTACTCCATGAAGGGCCTGCAGTCGATGATGACGGGGCCCGGGCTCGGCAGGTGGCTCTTGCTGCCTTTGGTCATCTTCTTCGCCAGGTCATTGGGATAGATTATTTTGATGCTGGCTAGCTGCTTGGGGGTCCCTGACACAGGGCTGCCCACCCCACCTGATGGACTTAAAGAGCCTGCATTCTCATTGTTGTTGACCATCTGGATGGCAGGGCACGTGGCAGAGGTTCCGATGGTGGTGGTGGCAGAGCCAGCGGCAATGGCTTGGGACTGGGCCTGACTGTCCTTGTCGTAGGTTGCCACAGTGCAGCAGCTGGCACTGCTGCATCCACAATTCAGGGAGCGGGCAGAGCCGCTGGATGAGGGCATATACGTCAGATTCGCAGCCTGGAGGGACACAACGGTGGTGGCGATGACAGGAGGGTGGCTGTTACTGCCCGGGGTGGCAGAGCCAAGGTAGCTAGAGTCTAAACAAAGGTTGAGATCCTGAGGTCGGACGGGCCTAGACAGTGCCACTACTACCCTGTCGTCTAAAGGAGACGGAGGCATGAGGAGGCTGAAAACTGGCAATTCAAGAAGAATTCAAGACAGTCTGTAAAGAAGGGAGGGGGAAAGAAAGAATAAAGTCATGTGACACAAAAGGCAGTCTACTCCAATCCCTAGGAGAGGCCTTTGCATCTCTGAGCACAGTCCTCCTAAGGGCCCTTTATCATGACATTCTCAAAGCTTGAAACTCATTTGACAGACTCAAAGAGGATGTCATACCTGAGGGTCCCCCACCTATCAGATGTTAAGTCTAAGGTTAAATGTATAGTCTATGCAAATGTTGATGAACAACCTTTTGTGACCCTACATCAACGTTCAGCCGTAGGGAGGGTAAAAGCACAAAGAATTAGGTAAACTGAAGACATAAAGGAAGGCTCTTAAGAGACATCTATTCTGGACCTCATCTCCTGGGCAGACGTATACTACAACCATCTGAGAAAGACCCAGTTGTCCACCCTTGCATACTTTCCATTTAATTCCTTCACCCACTGCAAAGGCAAAGGAATGACCAAGAGTGCGTATGGCTCACAGAAATACACAGCAGCTAAATATACCACAGGGGTGGATGTCAACTTTCTGCAAATCAGAATGAAAGCAGCCCCCCAGTGAATCCCTTTTCCTAGGAGCTATTCTCACTTTCTATTCTACCAAGCCCATTAAAAAGCACAACACAGTCATATTAAAACCTCCCATGTTTCCTATTAGCCTCTTATAAATGAATGTGCATTTCCCCTTTCATTACAAGCTAGTGTCCTAAAAGGAAGCCCTCAATCAGGAGCCAGCTCTGGAAACCCTAACCCTGGCAGATCCATCACCCTTTGCTCCCTTGCTGCACCTCCCTACTCACTCACACACACACACACACACACACACACACTCTCTCACTCTCTCTTTCTCTCTCTCACTCCTGCTTTTAAGGAAAGGACCACTTCGACTCTCCTCCGACTCTCCTCCCTTCATTTCCCCATTGGCACAGACTGTGCATCCTGGAGCTTCTCTCAATGGGAGGCAGCCACTATGTACAACATTTCAGTCCCACATAGACATTCCGCCTTCAAGAGGATGGATTCCATAAGAGGACTTCCCCATTTTCCGTCCCTGTAAAGAGGGGAAGCAAGCGTTGCCCACAGGGTCCACTGCCTGTTTCATGAGAGGGTGCCTGCAAAGGGGCAGTTCCTTCCCCCGTGTGCACAGGGGCGGTCTGTCGGCTCCTCTGCTTTCAGACACGCACACAGCAAAGGCACCAAACCCCGTGCAGGTCACTCACCTAAAGGAACTTTAAGAGGTGTCTGGAGAAATGTCATCTATTATCCAGCTACACACAACCGTCATCATTCTCTGACACAGCCAAAGTGTCACAGAGTCCACACACACACACACAGAAGCATGCACCCATCATGTCCGCAGATCCCACCGACTCAGGTTTCTCCTACCCACCTTCGGACGGAAGCAACGGATCCAACCGCTTTCCTCCCTCGTCTCTCTTCCCTCCCTTGCGTAGTATTTTTTTTTTTTTTTTGAAAGGCAAGTACTATTCCAGAAGCTATAACTGGTTCCCCGCTGGACTAAGCGATGAAAGTCTTCGCTATTGTGTTACCTGGTAGGGTACGACCCAGGATTAACAGTCCATTTCCTAGGAGACGGAAGCGTAAGCATGCTCACGGAGACACCAGCTGGGACCCTCACTCCACACGAAGTGCGCGGCTCACACGACACGCACGGAGTGTATAAAGAGACCTGCTTCCCTGCAGTACAGGGTCGGGCGTATATACTGCCCGTGAAACCAACGAGACTGGCCCAGGAAACCTCCCAGAGAAATACTGAGCTATCCCCTCTCCCTCGCTAGTCGTCCTTTCCAGGGACTGGAAAGAAGATTTAAGTGGTTAGAGAATCCTCCGTCCCCACTCCTGGGGCACTTACACTCCTTCGCAACATAGCGCACTAAAACACCCCAGGCAAATATTTAAAACTGCCGCAAAGCTTCCCCCACAAACCTCATCTTCCTTTCGCCCCAAATCCAAGCAGACTGCAGAGAGAGTAAACGCACAGAGCAGCGAGAGCCAACAGCCGGAACCCTGTAACCTCACCTGCTGTGGCTCCCCCGTGAGCATCTCATTCCCCACACACTCACACGCACACCGCCCTACACTCCGGGGCTCTCACAAGTAGCCGCGGTGACTTCCACTTACTTCATAAATAAGGGTAGCCCTCCACAATCCCGCGCTCCGCTTCAGCTACGGATTCACCCATTCAGCCCCCATTCACTAAGCTCCATTGATCTCCAGCAGCAACATAGTTACTTTCTCTTTTGCCACACTGTAAATGTAAGGTTTTGAGGGGGCGGACCGGCCGCCGACGGACGGTGCGTCGAGCCAATAGGAACTCGGGAAAAGCTAACCGCTACCTCACAGCGGCCTTCGGCCAAAGAGCGGCTGGAGGGGGAGGAGAAGGGGCGTGGCATCGTCTCTTTAAGGAGGGTTTAACCGACGCCGCTTTGGGTCCACAGTGTTAAAACACTGGCGGTGATGTCATTGGCAACCAATCAAAAACTTAAAAGGGCCCAGCCGGGGCCCGCGCGGAGCAGCTGCTCTCTATTTACATGTAAACCGAACAGGCCGGATGCAGTTAACCCTTTCTGGGGCTGAATTGTCAATGGGCTGGACTCCCCACTCCGGCTAAAACCGGCTCTGCCCACTTGTTAGGCTCCCCCTGCACCCCCTCACTCTCGGACGGATCACGCTCTATTTTTCCTTCGTACTCGGGAAGGATGATCAAAAGTGTCTGAGTAACTTTCTAAAGACAGGAGACAGCGAGATCACTGTCCCCGGTGGGAAAACTGTGTTCTCCAAGTCGCCCGAGGTGTTCTGACAAACCTTAATCCAAGATTCAAGCACCTCAGAGAGCCGCCCGCGCTGAGACCGACGTGAGCGCGCGGCCAGGGGCGTCGCTGCTCCTCCGGCCCGCGGACCCGGGCCACGCACCGGAAGCGCGCCGCCGGGAAGCGTCGGCCGCCCGCCCGCAGATGTCGCTGCCCCTCTGGCTGCCCTACTGCGCCCCTGCGCGGCGGTGGCGCGGCGCCCTCCGGCTTCTCTACATCTGCGCGCTCCGGTCGCGCCCCTGCGGTCCCCCGCCTGCTTCCCCGGGCTTGACCCGGAGCACAAAGGCGGCGCTGCGGCGGGCTGCTCGGAGGCGGCGGTCTGGGCCCCTTCCAGGAACTACAGGGGGCGCGCCTTGTGAGGCGGCACGGGCGCCACCCCCTACGACCAGGCGTCCGGGGGCTCGTCGCGCGCGCTCCACGTTCCCCCTCCCGCTCGGAGCGCAGGGTCCCGCGGCCCGCGGCCGGCTTTCCCAGCGCACCTCCACAGCAGCCCCTGCACCCTGCAAAGCCCCAGAAGAGCCGAGGACTGGCAGCCTGGCGCTTCTGGCGCCGCCGCGGCCGGCGGAAAGGAGCCGGAGCCGTCTAAATAAGCACACTGGAGGGGGGCCCGCGGAGCGCCGAGGGGGCGGCGCTGCCTCTCTGGGTTGTCGGGACTTGCGCCGTCCGAGGGGTCGCCAGCTGAGGCGAGGGTCTGGAGGACCAGAGTCACAGCGAGGCTGGCTGGCCTGTGCCTCTGCAGGAAAGTATCTGGGAAACCGTGGGAAAGTTGTCTTGGGGCACAAAAAGGAGTGGAGATACCAAAATGAACGGCGGAAAGTCTGCATTAAAGAACCCTAAGAAAATGCAACTCCTTTCTTTTCCTTTTGTCTGAGAGGCGGGGAGGGGCTAGAGAGTGAAATAGTTACGGTGGAGTAATGCATTATGAGCACTGTAGAATATTTGGCTGTGATTTTTCTCTCTTACCAAATTGAAGGTTTTTGGAGACATCCTAAAGGCTCCAAGCCTAAGTAAGTGGCAGCGACATTTTCATGTAATTGCTTTAAGTGCAAATCTGAAATCAGAAGATGCCAAACTATGGCCAGATATGCCCAATAGGCTATTAAGAGAAATCCCCTGGGGTACCTCTCCGCGGGAATATATGTATATGTTTCACATGTATGCATACACATACACATTCCCGCAAATTTCATCCAGTATTTCAACATTCAGTAAATTGCTTACAATCATCTTTAACAGAAAGGGTTTTGTGTTGCTCCCTCTGCTTGAATTGCTTGCCTTTTCCTAATATTCCTAATTATTGAGAAAATGTTCCCTGATTCAGGGTTGGAGAATTCTGGATATAAGTCCTGATTCTGACTCGCATCTGTTGTATCTGTTCATCCAGTGTCATTGTTCATTTATGTATGGAGTACATGGTAACACCCCAGCTCAGAAGAAAAAAGGAAAAAAAGGATTCTCTACTGATAAAAAGGCATTTAGTAAAAAAAGTATTGTCCTTGGTTTAGGAAGTGGGGTGCCTCTAATTAAAGGTACTTACGATATATTAATTATGAATTCATTGCTAATGCCTCAATATCTAAGCCCAAACAAAAAAAGGTTTTATACAATGCAGAGGAATTCTTAACACTTTTTCCTATGAGGCCAGACGGGGATAGTAACTTCAAAAGAAATGTAACTCATTTATTTAATGCAATGATTTTATTTTTGGTTCAAACTAGCAGATTATTACAATTTAGTTGACTGAGAGTTAAGCCATTCAAGCTGAAAAATTGGAGAAAATGGCAAAATTCCTCATCATTTATCAAACCTAGGAGACGGAAGAAGTACCTGATCAATAACATATACAAACATGTAATTCTTTAAAAATATTAAGCATCTTGAGAGGTATAGCATATTGGAATTATTAAAGTAATAAAAAAATATATCACAGATTGATTTTTTCAGTCATTACACGTCTAAGCTTTTTTTGTACAAAAAAAGAGTGATTTTGTTTCTATTTTTTGAGTGAAATGTGAAAATACTATCTGAAGTACTGACGTTGGATTTAAATTTGTGGCACCTGCCAGCCAACCAGCGGCCATAAACCTGATCTGTATACAAATAACTGGCAAAGCCTTAATGTTCTAGTCCCAAAGAAATGGCAAATCATTTTCACTGTATTTCAGTATCCTATCAAGATTGTACTGAGGCATATAATGTTGTTCCTACAAACAACATTATAAGAACCAAATGATTCTTACAGCACAAAGTGATATGTGTTAAAGCCAAAAGATAACTATATAACTTTAGGCCAACATATAAGATACAATATGGATAATATTGAACAAATGTATCAATTAAGTGACTTCCTTTATGTGCACTTAAATGGTTAAGTGTGTGGGATGATGGCAGATGGTAGGAATTTGGTGAGAGATGGATTTTCTAAATAATCCTCAAGGTCAAGGTGGGTTCCTGGAGGCACTAGAATAAGGCAGAGAAAAGCTTAGAGAAAACTTTGAAATAATAAAGCCTGGGAAAAAGGGAATGAGCTAAGGGATAGGAAGGTGAGGTGGTGAGCAGTTGTGTTCTTTGAGGTCAGCTTGGTAAAACTTCCTGAGACAGGGGCCCTTGAGAGAGGTGCCACCTCAGTATTTGGTGGGCTGATGGCCACAGAAGTGGACCCGACTGCTGGTCTTAACTAGCTATGAGTCTGGACACAGGTGGCCTACAGATCTTCCTCATTAACTTCATGGCAGAACCCTGTGACTCGGGAAAAGGCTCTGAGTCATTTAAGGTTCTATGTGTTTTCCAGTGTGATAGCCACTTGCCACATGTGACTATTGAATGAACACTTGAGATGGGAAAAGTACGAATCCAGATGTGCTGTAAGTTAAAAATACATGCTAGATTTTTAAAACTTCCTATAAAAAATATAAATATCTCCATTACTTTTTATATCAATTACATGTTGAATTGTTTGGACATATTGGGTTCAATAAAGTATGTTAATAAAATTAAATTTACCTGTTTCATTTTATTCCTTAGAATTCGACTATTAGAAAACTTGAATGACTTGTGCAGTTTGCATGTTTCTGCTGGCAATGCTGTTCTAGAACCTGGAATTGCTCCTTTGATTTGAGGTCAGTTTGGTGCCAAAGGCACCAGGCCCACAGAATGGTAGATCTGGAAGGGACTTCAGAGTTTATCCAGGCCAGCAGTTCTCAAATTGTGTTAGGGTGAGCCACAGGGAGTGGGGCTGCTAATGCAAGTGGGGGGATTGGGGTGGTAGCAGGGAGAGCCAAGGGAGCTCTGAAAGCACCCCCCCATCCGCACCCCTCCACACTTGATATATATTTTTTCATACCTGAGACACCAGGTAAAATGTCACTTGAAGAAAAGATCCTGGCTGGATTTTTTGTCTTATTTTGTTTCGTGTTTTAATCCTGGTCCATCATTTTACTGGAAGGCAATTTGGGGCCCAGAGGATGGAGGTGGCACGGCCAAGGCCATACCTGAAACTTCAAAGCCAAGCTGTGTCCAGGTAGAGGAGGTGGCTGACTGGTTAGGGGAGTTAATAAGCTCCCTGTGTCAGCAGTTGCCAAGCAGTTAGCTTTCCTTCCCCCTTCCCTCACCCCCCATTCACAACCTCCCAAGTGCCCTACTGCTCTTTGTCAAAAGAGAATTCTGCCTAGCCCCAAGAGCTTGGACCACTGACACAAACTGATTTTCTTGATGAAAATAACAGACAGAAATCTAACTCACTGGCCGTGGGCCTCCAGCATGTTGTGAGCACCTCTAAACGCCCTTACGACTGGCTTCAGGTCCAACACAAAGGAATTAATTTTACCTTCTCAGCATCACCTACTACGTTAAGACTGTACTGCATCCTTTTAAATTACCAAGTGCGCCCAAGTGTGCCTTATTTATCTTCGGAACTGATTGTAAAGACTTAGTATTTGGAAAAACAGTAACAGGTAACAGTCACTGACATTTTGCTTTGTGCCAAGCACTGTTGTAAGTGATGTATGTGCATTCAATCATTTAAGTCTTCACGTCCACATGGGCACTATAAGTAGGTCCTACTTTTATTAGCCTTAATTTAAAGATGAGGAAACAGAAATACAGACAGTTGAAGTAACCTGCCCCAGGTCACACAGCTAGACCACACAATGGCAACATTTGAACCCAGACACTCTGGCGCCAGAGCATCATTTGCTTTTAGCCATTTTGTGTTATTTAATTCATCCTCGTTGTGATTTTATAAACTTCTATTATATCCCCTCCAGATCGCCAGGATATTTTTAATTTCCTCTTCATGAGAATTAGCTGTTTTTCCCTCTGCTTTCTCCTGACCTTCTCCTGACCTTCCTGGAGTTCGTTCAGTCTTCTTGTGTTCTCTCCCACTACTGCATTCTCCATGTTTGAGACTGGATCGAATGATCATTTTGCTCCCAGAGTCCTCCCAAATAGCGCTCTCAACTTCGTCGGTGTTTTTGGTTGCTGCAGCAAGTGGGGCTGACAGATTCAAGGAAAAGCCTATCACACTTCTATTAGCCAAACCCCAGCTCCTCTGCCATCCCGTCCCTAGCAGCCGACACAGGAACTAGGACATAGGGTGAGCTCAGGAAGTTTCTGTTCAATGAATGAATGAATGAATGAATGAATGAGTGAACTAGCTAAGCGGTTTTCTTATACGTACCCTTGAATTGTTGTTTCCTAGATGCATGCCCTGGCTCATCTGATACTTTTGTAGACACTTGTCTGGGCTTTCTGCAAGAGGTAGAAATGTAGGAACCTCTGAAGTACCTGAATTCAATCCTCTTCTGAATGATTTATACAGCTATTGACTAAGTATCTATTTTGGGGGAACCTCCATGGTTGCTGACACATCACTTTGTTTACCAGATTCTCCCATTTCTAGTTTAACTTGAATTTCTTTTTTCCTAGCATGTATGGCTATATCAATATCTTGACCATCATAATTCATACCATACTTGTATTTTCACATCAGTCAGCACTCCTTTTGTATGATTGTCTGCTTAGGAAAATTTCTCCCTTCTTGTTTACTGAGTTGCAGCAGAATGAAGGTATCTTCCATTTCCTTTACAGCATCTTGACTCTTACAGTATTTAAAAGCATGGATTTCCTTGTGTTCATCT